TTGAATTGTCAATTTTAAAAACAAGTAGCTTTGCTAATCTAGTACATCTGAGAGACAGTAAATCAACACAATTATTGCTCTGATCACAGAGGAAATCTACTGTGAGAACTACTGACATCATCCAAAAACCACAGACAACATAAAAACTCTTCTCTAACATTTAACACTTGTTGAAGGATTTTACCTAACATAAACCAGAAACCATTATCTTAAACACAGCCCTTCATCACAGACATTGTGACAGATTATTGATCTAGTGATTCATGAAACAGAATGCCTCTGTTTCACACACAGGAAGCAAACAACTGTAATTAGCAAGACGATTAAAAGAACAGTTCATTCAATACTGAAAATGTTGTCATCATTAACTCCAATACCTTGCAAAAAACATGTTCGATATATTAGAATATATTTTGAAGAAAGCTGGAAACCTGTAATGATTGACTTCCATAGTTTTTGTTTTCCCAACAATGGAATTTAATGGTTACAGGTTTTTTTTTTTTGCTTTATTCAAAACATCTTCTTTTAAATTTAGCAGAAAAAAGGGAACTCATAAAGCTTTGGAACTACTTTAGGGTGAATAAATAGTGAGTAAATATTCATCTTTAAATTAACTATCCATTTATACTATGAACAAAGAGAATATAAATGCTAGGTGTCAATTTTCATAATGTGTGGTATGAACGGCGAAATTTTACAGAAATAGCTGCACATACTGTAGCATAATTATTGAACTGATTTGTCTTTGTGAATATATGAAGAGTTCAGATGCAAAACCCTCTAAATCTATCAGACCTCTTTTCTTGTAAATGAGCATTTTCTATCAGGCTCCTATAATTAGGTTCAGAAATGTTATTTTATATATAATGTAAAGGTCATTATCTAGTAAATAGAATCCCTTTTTTCAAAAAAAAAAATGTCACTTTAGACAATTTGGTTTTAAACAACTTTGGTTTTAAACAAGGTAAGTTTTCTTCTGCGTGAAAACCAGCTAAATCCACCAGTGCTTTTTATGCAAAAACCTCTAAATCCACATATTGGGACAAGACAGTGCAATTAGTTGAAAATCACTGAAGACACCATTAGAAATTATTTTACCAAACATAAAACACATTACACAAATCATCTAAAATTAACAGAAGAAAATGAATGAATGAAATCTGTCAAGTGCATAAATCAATAACATTAAAACTGACATTAACCTCATAGCATCCATGTGGGAATGAACTTTTTACTTTGTCTTTCATGAAACACAGTTGCTGTTTAATGTATAGTAAGTTGGACTCATTCAAAGTAGCGTCACTGCGCAAAAAAAGTTATGAATGCATGTTAGCCTATACTTTCAACTGTACGGTGTGTTTTCTTTTCCTTATAATGCACAGAGTTTTGAGGTAAGGGACGTTTTCATTTGCCATTTACTGACAGTCGGACAGGCTCATACAGTTCATCAAACTCCAAACTCCATCAAATCTTTTAAAATATAAATCAATAGCAGAATAAAACAGTCTCCTCATGAAAGCCGGTGTATCAGCACGCCATTACATTGAAAACATTACTTGATTTGATTTGCGCCTTCTGATTGGTTTGATTTGCTCCTTCTGATTGGTTCTCGAGATATAGCGGATTTTGCTGTCAAAGGCCGTTTAGAGGTTTTTGCCAACAAACTGTTATTTCTGAATACGTTGGTGCTGCGATTTAGATAATTTGAGGCAAATCTATTTGTTGATGGTGTAATACATGCCTAAAGCATTCGCTCAATGTCATTAGCTAATTTTTGGCGGAAGTGACCTTTAGCGGCTTTTGCAACTGAACTATTTTGATGTATAAACCATTTCATTAAACATTTCTCTGGCTTTACTCTTTTAGCAGGTTCCTCACATTTAGCATAATAGTTCTGGTACAAAGACACATTTCCATCAACAAACATCACTGAAATAAACATCTCTCACAAAACCCATAAAGAAGCCTTCAAAACAAATGCTAGTCTCTATAGTTACATGAAATACAGCAGGGTTTCCAATTGGACTGCTTTAAAAAGAACAATGAAAAAAGCAACAATGGTTTCCTTTGAGGGGATTAAACTGTGTACAAGCTTCTTGTTTATTCAATAAAACATCTCTGCTTGATAAAGTTTAGCAGATCTTATGTAATAGTAAAGAGCATGGTGAGCTGTCAAATGTGGGTTAGCTGATGGATAACGTGCGTAATGTGCTGTGTGAAATCTAATGCTACGGTGAACTCCTCGCTGTTTTTTAATAGCAAATACCCTCCAAAAACATGCTGTATTGGTTAACCCGTCTACATGCCATCTGTATCCATTTCTGATGGGTTTCCCATGAAAATCTGGCAGACGGATGAATCCTCGAATGAGTTGTAGGATCTGCGCGCTCACACGGCAAATAAGCTCCTTGTTAAACCAAATCATCTTTCCCTCCTCAAAAGACCTCAAGGATTACAGTCCCAGCGTTCAGAACCACTTTTCTTTTGGCGTACGTCTCTCTCGCTGTTTCAGAGCTGAGAAACGAGTGAGTGAGGGATGATGCAAACCCAAATGGATTTCCATGGTTAATCCTGGCAAGTCTGAACTCTGGGGTTCTTGTGTAACACGGCTCACCAAAAGACAAAACCACAAACACAGCAAGAAAAAAAAAAAGTGGTCTTTGAGCGTTTTCCTCCAGCATATTAAGAATGATTTCTGTTCAGTTTGAGACATATAAAAGGGGTGATTCTGGCTAGACAGAAGCCTTTAATCCCAAGTAGATTAATTGCAATTAAATGATTAATCAGGCATTTGTTACATTTGTGTTGTCTCACACATTTTTATGTGATCAATTACTATTATCATCATTGTATCCTTTATTTTACCAGGAAATTCACATTGAGATTAAAAACCTCGGTCCCACTTTATATTAAGTGGCCTTAACTAATATGTACTTACATAGGAACTAATAGTTTGTTACAATGTACTTATTGTGTAAATATAACATGTATTTACTGTGTACTTATGCTTGATTAAATACATGTATGTATATATCTGTAATTAACTTTTGTAATTACATTTGTAAATACACTGTTGACCATCCCTTACACCTTAACCCACCCTTAAACCTACCCATGCCACCAAACCTGTCCATAACCCAACCTCTATCCGAACTCAAAAGCACCACAAGTGTTCTCAAATACATCATAAACACAGTAAGTACATTGTATTTATTTTTTTGATGTAAGTACATAGTAGTTAAGGACACTTAATATAAAGTGGGACCAAAATCTCTTTTACAAGAGCGCCTGGCCAAGATAAGGCAGCATATGGCAGTTCACATGGGTTTAACAAACAAACAAACAGACAAACAAACAAACAAACAAACAAACAACGAGTAATATCATTCATTGACAAAGCAGACTATCCAACCCAAGTGTATAATACACAAGGGATTGAGGGATTGCTTTATAGAGCAAAACATACCATCAGATTGCAGAATGGTTCACAAATATTCACTAAATAGCATGTGGTGACGATAAAAGGCACATAATAGCCAAACAATGGAAGGAGCCCATATTGATCGATTTATGCTCACTAAATCACAGATGGAAAAAAATGTATAGCACGCAGCTTTTAGAATTAACAGAGCACTATATTTGTATAACACAGCAAAAAGCTTCTGAACTGTTTAAAGCTTGGTCAAGTTGCAAACAGGACTACATGGTGATGTCTAAACCAGACACCTTGACCTGACTACAGTATAGACCCAGTGCAGTACATGGATGCATAGAGAATAAATCAACACAGCAAAAACCAAAACACATGCCAAGCCAAAACTTTATCCTGACATTGGGCTTTTTGAATCAATTTAGAGGCGCTGATTTTGACAACCACTGCTCGTTAACCGAATATTAACCGTTAATCGATCAGAATAATATTCAATTATCATTTATTTAACAAAAAAGTAATCGACGCATTTATTTTGTGTTTGATACATTAAATATTGCATTCATGTTGCAAAAAATATTAATTTATTTTAACATGTGAACAACAGCTAACAGAAAATATTAACAACAGAACATTGTAAATTCTTCACGCAGTTGAAGTGTTTTCAACAGCATAAAAAAACCTAACTAAAAAGTATAAAATATGGGCCTGCCATAAATATTTTTTTAAAAAACACAAAACAATAAAATATTTTTTACAAAACAAAAACACTGACTGAATCCAACTAGAAATCAACTAGAAATACCTCAAACAAACCGCTCCATGAAAAATTAGCAGTTAATTAATGCTTCGCTATAATTCTTAAATCACAAACCTCTGTCAACATTTTTTAATATAAGTCACTATTTTAAAGTATTTCTCCAGATCTTTACCATAGTGTTTCTGTGCTTTTAGGTAAAGTTGAGTTCAGGTGAGGGAGTGCTTTAAAAAGTAGCTAAACTGTCCTCAATTTAGTGTAGCCTGTGTCAAACTGTCACTGAACCACCAGTATATCAATATAGGCTTTGCTAAAAGGCTGTTTATCTTACCAGCAAAGAGGGACAATAATGATAGCCTACTAGAGATGTTAAAGGAAATTAATAATTAGATGTAAACTTAGCAAAACAGATCCTATCAATGTTGTAACATAGAATGCCCTTAAATTGTATAGCCTATGTAGGCTATACTGTAGTTGACGCCAAACAATCAAGTTACTTTAATGAGATTGTGTCACCTGTCAAATGTAGGTCTGCTCTTTACAGAAGCTTTAACTAAAAATAGAAAAACTTAAATAAGACCTAAAACATTAATGAGACAGTTATGACTATGTTAATAAGTATATTTCTACCGCCTATCAGCTTTTCATATTCTTTCCTCAGCAAATTTACTTTCTGCAAGGAGCTAAATGCTTTTTTGCCACTTTACTCAAGCAAACTAAATTATTGCTACATACATAAACACACATAAGCACCAGCGCTCTTGACTAAATATCAGAATGAAGAAAATGATTGGAAGATTGACATTATCCTACCAGCTGATGTGTGAGGACGATCCTGATGAGTGGTTCAATGGACAGATTGAGTGACAGTGCAGGAGACGGTTCAACCTTCAGAGAAATGAGATGACTGGCCATCTGGATCTTATGATCTTTAAAATCCACTGCTTCATTGATCCTGCAGAAATGGACAGTCAGTTATAGGTTATACATTCATTCATTTTCTTTTCGGCTAAGTCACTTTATTAATCTGGGGTTGCCACAGAGGAATCCAGCATATGTTTTACATAGTGGATGCCCTTCCAGCTGCAACCCATCACTGGTAAACATCTATACACACTCATTCACACACATACACTACGTACATTTTAGTGCACCCAAATCACCTATTTCACATGTCATTAGACTTGTGGGGGAAACCAGAGCACGGCTGATGTCCTGCAAAGTTTAGTTCCAACCCCAATCAGACACACCTGGGCTGGCTTTCTAAAAACATTTATGCAGGTGTGTTGAGGCAAGTTGTAGCTAAAATCTGCAGGACACCGGCTCTCTAGGACCGAGTTTGAACACCACTGGGTTAGATGAATGGTGTGGTTTTTAGTGAACTTGCTGATAACAAAACTGATTCAATGGTTATTCAGTAAGTGAAATTATTAAATTAGCTTCAATTCTAAAAAAAAAAAAACTTTTGTTTTGAGCAAATTGGTTTGATGTTTAGATAATGAGGTAATACTTATTTTGAGCAATTGGCTAAATGATATACTTAATGACTTACTCATTTTTCCTAACTAATAAAATAATAGTTGAATGACTTAATTGCTTATTTTCTTAAACGATTTAGTAACATGTTTAGTCATTAAATGAATCAATGATTTTAAATGAAAAACCCTAACTTGGGATTGAATGGCTCATTTGTTTCCTTGCTGAATGAATCAATGTGAATGAAAGAATAAGTTGAATGAATGATTCAGCAGTTTACGTATTTCACAGCTGAATGAATAAATGTTTTAAATAAATGACCAACAATTTTCTTCTTTTAAACTCAGACAAAGTAGAATTGTTACTTGTTGGGCCTAAATCCTATACACAGCAGATCTTACAACTAGACCTACAATTAGAGGGATCAGGCCCGTGCAGAGGCCGTACAAAGGGCATGATGTCGCGCGCGTTCTGATCACCTGTGTTGTCGCGCGCGAACTGTAATGCAGTTGGGGGTGGGGGTGGGGGGGTGGTTGAGCGCACGTACTCAAGATTGGTGTTGTCGTGCGCCTACTGAAGGGCGTACAGAGGGTCTGTCGCGTCGCAGGGGCACTTTTGATCATTTTGGAAGGGCACTTTATATCCAAGACTAAAAAGGGCACAGGTTGAGCCCTATGTGTGTACGTGCCTGAGAGGGATACAAAGTTAGCGTTAGCTCTATTGTAAAAGATCTGGGTGTCATTAGACAGCAATTTAACTTTTGAAAATCATATATCCCATGTCACAAAAACTGCCTTCTTTCATCCCCTATTAACAAACTTCAGCTAGTACAAAATTCAGCAGCCAGAGTTCTTACCAGGTCTAGAAAATATGATCATATTACCCCAAATTTTTCCTCCTTACACTGGCTGGCTGTTAAGTTTCGTATTGAATTTAAAATATTACTTCTCACCTATAAAGCTCTAAATAATCTAGCTCCTGTTTATCCAACCAACCTTCTGTCTCTCTACAATCCAACCTGCTCTTTAAGATTTCAAAACTCAGGGCTTCTGGTAGTACCTAGAATAGCAAAGTCGAGTAAAGGAGGTCGAGCCTTCTCATTTATGGCTCCTAAACTCTGGAATAGCCTTCCTGACAATGTCCGAGTCTCAGACATACTCTCGCAGTTTAAAACTGGATTAAAGACCTATCTTTTTAGCAAAGCATACACTCAGTGCATCACTTAGCGGTATGATACATGAATATGCTCCATGCAGATTTTTGCTTATGGTTTATATGCACTAAGAACAGCAGCTACACTAATTATTTTCTTTATTATCTATTTCCATCTGAACTATGCAGCGCCACTGATCTGATCCAAGACCAGCGACAACATGATCCCAAGGTTTCCATAATCATGGACCATGCCGTCTCCTGAGCAGCTGCAGTGGTGTTCATGGAGGAGTGGAGAGCATGAGACTGATTCCTGTGATGCTCCAGGGACTGACGAGTCTTCGCTGAGGTCCAGCATTCTCCAGCCTCCGGCGCCTAGGCTGCAGCTCTGCACAAGACGTTTGGCCATAGGAGAAATGGTCGTGCCCAACTGAGTCTGGTTTGTCTCGAGGTTTTTTATTTCTTCACTTTGGCCAAATGGTGAAGTTTTTTTCTTGCCGCTGTCGCCACTGGCTTGCATAGTTCGGGATCTGTAGAGCTACGCGTCGATGGATTTGCTCTTTAGTGTTTGGACCCTTGTGATTTTTAAACCACACTGAACTGAGCTAAACTGAACTGAACTTAAACACTGAAAACTGGACAGACACTGTTTCAATTTACTATAATATTCTATGTGAATGTGCTATGACACAATTTACATTGTAAAAGTGCTATACAAATAAAGGTGAATTGAATTGAATTAAATTTGTTAAACAAATGTTAAATGATTCTTTTAATGTTTTCTTCCGAAATAAATCAGTGTTTTTAAATGAATCAATTTGCTTACGGACTTATACAATGACTCGTTAAGTTATTTTCTCCCACATAAATCAGTGTTTTTGAATAACTTGGTTGAAAGTTTTCAGTGACTCACTGTCTTATTTCCAAAATGAGAATTAATATTTCAAAATACAGGATTTAAATTATTAATTTAATGATTCATTTATTTGTTTCTTTGCTGGATGTATCAGTATTGATTAATGTAGCAACTCTTTTTTTTGTCCCCTTTGTTGAATGAATTAGTGTTTTTTAAAAGAATCAGATTAATGATTCATGGGCTGCATGATGATGCAGTGGGTAGCACATTCACCTCACAGCAGGAAGGTCGCTGGTTCAAGCCTCAGCTGGGTCAGTTGGCATTTCTGTGTGGAGTTTACATGTTCTCCCCGTAATCACGAGGGTTTTCTCCGGGTGCTCTGGTCTCCCCCACAGTCCAAAGACATGCGGTACAGATGAATTTGGTAGGCTAAATTTTCCATAGTGTATGTGTGTGAATGAGTGTGTATGGATGTTTCCAAGTGATAGGTTGCAGCTGGAAGGGCATCTGCTGCGTAAAACATATGATGGGTAAGTTGACAGTTGATTTCGCTGTGGCGACCCCAGATTAATAAAGGGACTAAGCCAAAAAGAAAATGAATGAATGAATAATGAATCATTCAGTGACTCACTCGCTCACTTCCTTCTATGCTGAATGAATTAGTGTTTTTGAAATAATATTTAAAATAATTTGAATTAATCACTTGTTTCCTTTTAAAAAAAAAATACATTTGCTGAATAAATGATTACTGTATAGTCTTTTTGAACAAACTGTCTTAAAAAACATATATTTTTTGTCAAACAAATATTTTCATAAATCACATGGGATCACTAACTAGCATACTACATATACTACTTAAACTATTTTTGGCAAATCTTTCTTTGTAGAACTATGTTAGGATGTGTTTCTGAATTCAACATCTTTCTTGTTGCCTTGCTGATTTTGAACAAGTGAATCACAGAATCACTTACGAAGACAATGCAAAACTGCTAAAGAATGCACAGACAGCGTGTTGTGATCTTAATAAATAACTGACAGTGGATATAACATTTGTGCGTTTGTGACTAAATCTTTACATATCACATATCTGGGTTCTCATAAATATTTAAATGTTAACAAGCTCTCTCAGCTTTGTTGGTCAGTTCAGTTACATAAAATGAGGTCAGCTGAGTTCCAGAGCTGTGCTAAAATAAATAACTCGACTTCAGTGCTGATCACGGCTGTGTTAAGATGGAAAGCAAGTGTTATCAGCCGACTTAATGACTGGGAGTATCAGACCCAGAGGCCCACATGAGAGAGAACCACAGTGATAAATCATGCCCACAAGAACAGCATGTACAGGAAACACACACACACACACACATACGCACACACACTTATATTATGAGAACTTTCCATTCACAGAAAACCTGTGGCAAATTTGTAATATCTAAAAACCCAGTTAAATATGATTTTAAATGTTTTGAATTATGAGAACACAAATATGTCCTTGTAAACCACCTTACAGTTTGTAAAGTGCCTCTTTTCTCCATAAAATTATACACACAAATCCAAGATTGCACACACAAACTGCAAAATGACTCACATCTCTTGCAAAATAAACACAATAGCAATAATTGAATCCAAACTATTTATTTATTAGATTTATTATAATTATTTCATTACATTTTTATTAAAAGAAAAGCTAGTCATTTCTTGTTAGATTTTTGTGTTTTGGACATTGTGTGCAGTGTTTTGTGTGTTGCTTATGGTTTTGGAGATTTTGTGTAGTTTTGCATTTTGAGTGAAAGGTTATCGAAATCATTTGACAAGAAAAGATTTTGTGTGTAAGCAGTTGAAAAAACCGTAATAGAGTTCAACTAGACAATACCCATGTCCTTATACAGTTTTGTCCTAATAAAACCTATTAAACAAGAACACACACACACACACACACACACACACACACACACACACACACACACACACACACACACACACACACACACACACACACACACACACACACACACACAAACACACACACACACACATACACACACACACACACACACACACACACACACACACACACAATTTTAAAAAATATTCTCAATGTTTTAATTGCTGTTTTTAAAACATATTAAAAGTATTTTTCTTAATTTATTGTGTATTTTCAACTTTTAATTAAATTCAAGTTTCAAGCTTTTTTTGTACATTTTTTAGCTTTTTCTGACTATTTCTATTATTAGTTGAATTTTTTGTCATATTTCATTACCTATTTAAAGGAGTTACCAAAAGTAGCATTTATTTGTACTATTTTTACTTCTAATATTTGTATTGTACATATTTTTTTCTATTACAAAAAACAACATTCTTTACAGTTTTGAAGTCAACAATAACTATCAAAACAAAGCGAAAAATAGATTAACAATTATATTTTTGTCTCTTTTTAATTGAACTGCTTATTAAAAACACCACAATGATGCTTGTTTGTGTTTCTGTTACTGCGAATCATGCCGAAGAGGGTTATTAGCACTACTTATTACAGCTTTACAGGTGTTAATGGACCAAATAAGCAACATCAATGTGTCTCTGCTAACTCCTCACAAGTGAGCTCTGGGCCAAAGCCTTGCAAACCAAGAAGTGAAATCTCATACAAATGTTTTTATTAAGACTAAAAGAAACTTGGCCGAGCAGAGACATGCAGCAATTGAATGTGCACAGAGAGGATCGACTCATTATCACAGACACTGCATGCGCTCCTCTCACTGCAGCTCTAATGGGAAAGATGTGTGTTCGCACACACGCGAAAAGAGTGCCAGGAGGGACCACCACGTGTGCGCAGGGGAGACATGTTACACTCAACTTCAAAAATATTTCAGCCATTAAAAGATAAATACACAGGGCCATTTCCCATTGCATTCAAAAGCAACTCCAGTATTCACATGCAAACACAATGCTTTTGACCTTGGCATATAATGTTGATAACTGGACCACAAAACAAGAAAGTAAAATTTTAAAATTGACTTACACAAATAACTGCAGAAATATTACACATTATGACTGTGGTTGTTTTTCATGATTTAATCATGGAAAGTTATAGGCACGTTGGGGTTGATGGTTCTGGTTGGCACCTAATAGTATCTCTGGGGGGCCCAAAATGGCATTGGTCCTTAAAATTGTCCTAATTTTACCCACCTAGCGGTGCCCCTGTTAAAGTACATAGTACTACCATATATATATATATATATATATATATATATATATATATATATATATATATATATATATATATATATATATATTTATTTATTTATTTATTTATTTATACAACAGTTCTGTCTGGTTCTTGAATCTGCGATAATTTGCCAGTAACATAACACAAAGGCCTCTTCACCTCTGTGTTTTAGTCTGCCCACATACATTTTATTTTGCCACGGATGTTTGAGTGTCTTTTTCTTTTCCTTTTGCCTACTCATTGTCGTTGACTGGCATGTATATTGTCGACAGCATTTGGGTAAAATGCATAAAGGCCAATAGAAACAATAGAATCCTTTTTTAATTCTTTAAAGTCTCAGGCTAAACACTGGGACACCTGGCACCCGTCACAATACCGACAGCAACAGAGAAATACTGTAGACTGTAATAGACTGTAGGAAGACATCTCTGCAGACGGATGGCATTTCATGTCACGTTCA